CAGTGTAGGGAGCTAACAAGATACTGTTCATATTCAACAACATAAATTGCTCAGAGCAATTTGGTGACCTTTCTCCGAAATGTCAAATTCAAGATTGATTCCCTTCCCACGAGCATCGAAGCAATATATGGTACTGGTCCAGTGTTCTGGGTGTGTCTTGGGGGTTAAGTTTTAATGTTTTGGAAAACCGTTTATCGCAAGCATTCATGTTTGTCAAATTCATTCTTTTCTGATAACCAATCATAACGTGTAAGGATTCCCTTCTCTGAGAGTATTATTGACCATCTTTGGTATACCGTGGATATAACATTACTGACAAGGAATGTATCATGTATGAAACATTACTGATTGACAAGGGAAAAACAACGGAGATTTCAGTAAAGACTACAAGTGCATCATACGGATACCCGTGAAGATCCGGGTAAGAATTGATCTTCAGTAACCCATGCTTGTCGTAAAAGGCGACTAACGGAATCGGGTGGTCAGGCTCGCAGACTTGGTTGACACATGTCATCGTATCCCAATTGCGTAGATCGATGCTCATGCTGTTGATCACAAGGATTGTCTGGTACAAACTCGATTATTTACAGACCCCGCCGTATCGCTGGAATATTACCGAGTGCAGCGTTAAAGTACAAACCAACCAAACCAACCAACCATTATACGGATACCCCACCACTGACGTTAATGTATAATTACTACAAATATATCACTACAAACTAGCATTTCATTATGATGCAGTATCACAGTTACATCTCATCTGAATATCACTGGAAAACCTACAGTATGCGTGATAGAATATTCTGTGCCAAAGAAAATGGCATACTTTTATGTAGTTTATGATTTATTACGTCATTCTTAGAATGAATCATGTCAAGGCACATTAATCTTATTTATGAGCTCAAATTAAGACAGAAAGTGGACATTCTTCATGACCCTAGCTTTAATTATGTTATCGTAAAGCACGAAAGACCAAGAATGTTTTAAAACAATAGAGTAATTTCGAACACAATGTAAGGACCTGTTTGAATCCTTTGCATATCTGCCATGGTGTATTCTCGGAACAGGCTGTCCCGCTCCGACATCTCAAGTCACAATAAACAGGACAACGTGCCACTTCCGGCGTACGAAATGTCCCCACATTTACACGAGAGGTCGCTGATAATAAAGAAAATGATTGATCAATTCGCACACAGATCGAAAATAACCATCGATTTTAGATTACACTGCGAATACCCCCCTCCTACCCTTTCAAATCCCCACCACATGAATGACACGACTCCATAAATTGCTTTTCGACACAAGTCCACAATTGTTATGGTGCATGTTACTCATGATGGAAGGCACAAGAGCACACCCAGTCATGTGTATATGGTTGTGATGGTCACACAAACTTCTCATCAACATGTCACCAGGAATGAGATTTTGTTGCTAAAATAGATCGATTTCCATGCTTGATTTTTTTACGCATTATCCACAGTTAATGGACGTCAACAAGCACGGAACATCAAACACTGGCCAGATGTGTCTGGCTGTAGATCGGGTTAACAAGTAGCAATGGGAGGAGGTTGTTTTTGACTGCTGTGCGGTAATGGTCCGTAGATCAAGGTAGGCCTTTTTTATCTGAATATTTCTAATTTCAGTTATTTTTGTTTGAACCACGAAAAAATTAAACATAAGTTTCAAAATGTATTTCCTCAATCAACAGAATTTCCTGTTTAACTATATCCGACTGTATAATTTGTATATGTCTGTAAATCAGAACTGCACAGCGAGAACACCCGAAAAGGTGGGCGTGTAATGCCTCGCCGTAGCCATCGGTCACAAACACTTGCAAAGGCTAGTCAATTGTGCATCTGAAACACAGGGGAACATACGGAATAACCAGGGAATATTGGACTTTTGTTTTTCACCTATGCTTCAAATTTGGAACCAAGTCCTTCACGTGTCTATCAAAACATTTTCAGGGATATCGCCGAGGAGAGACCATGCTTGATTTTCATTGTTAAATGTAGCAATTGTTGGAATATTGCTGGACATAAACGGGGAGTTTACAACTGGGTAGATGAAATCGAAGTCGTCCTTCTTGTCATCCAGTCTTGTAGACAGCTGTTTTGTCACTCGAAAATGATGGATAGATCTGATCATGACATGGGTAACAGCCTATTTGGACTTTATTGAACAATATCAGATTATGTACGTTCCTCAAGCCTATGTTAAACGCCTGTACAAAGTGTAATATTTGTCAATTTGTCAATTACCTAAACTGTTAGCAGTGTACAATCTGAAAAAACATGTAATTTCAATTCCAAATGAAAAGCAATATTGTAAGCAGTTAAATAATGTATAATGTATAAACTTACTGAATTAGAAATACAAAGCTATCTGTCTAACTAAACAAATGTGGTCATTGTGTCGCAATATTTTACACGTACACAAATACACTTTACAATGAAGTACTTTGTTAATAGCACATCTGTTAAATCTTTACTGTCAGTGATACGCATCCCTGTCTCAAACACAATGTGTCATCATGCCAGTACACTCTGTGAGTCCTGTGTTTTTTAAACCAAAGTTCCAATTATGAATGTTCCGGGCTGGTTCTTTGAACATTTAATTTATGTGTTGATCCAGAAAACACAGAAAAACAAATTCCATGACACCCGAGAGATTGAATCTTTGACTGAGATGCTAGGCCGATTGCGACACAAAGGCAGACCTCTGTGAAAGTTATTTGCTCGACATAACAAAACGGTTTTGCTTGTATGTTGGTTAACGACGCACAGACTTATTCCATCGGTCTGTAAATAATTGACTCTGGACCAGACAATCTGGTGATGGACATCTTGAGCATCCAACTACGCAAGTGGGAAATGATGACATGCTTCAAGCAAGTCATCATCAGGGAATCTGACCACCCGATCCCATTAGTCGCCTTTTTCAACAAGCATGGGTTGGTGAAGACCAATAATAACCGGCATGATAACAAAATGATAATAAAATGAACTTAGCATAGGTCGCTCTCATAATGTATAGTGATAAGTATTTCAGCTGTAGATAGTTAATACATTTCATGCTTGGCAGTAAACGCTATTTGCGAAATTCGGCAACTTTTTAATCTGCACAGTTTGTGATATTTAGAGAATAACCACAAGCTTCGGTGAATCAAGGAATCTTTGTATCCAGTGGTTGTGTGCTGTTAATCCCTAGACTTTGGCTTCGAGTATGTTTTTCCATAAAATACTCGTTGATATTTTAAGACAGAACACTAACAAAAGACGTGTGAAATATCGACCCAACAGAGGCACTTAAATGAAGGCAGTATCATTTTCAGATAACGTAATATAAATCAATTTACTGGGAATGAACAATGCATGACGTATTTGTCTCCACCGTGACGGCTGACGACTTCAAATGATCCCATCATTACTGTGAAAATCGCTAAAATGCACATGTGCAGGTATCGCAAAGTAATTACATGTATGCACAATCATTTTACCCTTTTGGATAACATACGTTGTTAAAAGGACTCGAGTCAATTGGTTATTCCTTTGTTCAAAATTGAAAACTGCATGGTCGTTAGCCGTCTCATATTGCGCTCCTTATCGTCTCAAAACCAAGCGTGTTTTTTGTGTCAAATTGTGTATTGCTGTAGTTTCCTAGAGGTGTAACATTTGAAAACAACTATTTATGTATGCTTCATAATGCATTTAAGTCTCTACATATAAGTAACCAATAGTAATCAAACAATCAACCAAAGACGTCATTTCTTTACATTGTGTACACTCATCTTGTAATATTTTCTCGTCACGATATGGTGAGTTAGTGAGTGAGTTTAGTTTTACGCCACACTCAGTAATATTCCATCGGCTCACTGTATGGAAATGACATGAACCAGTAGATATAATTGCAATTTAATTGTCACAGCTGAAATGGTTAATGAGCGATATCAAATTGAGCTATTTTACATATGACTCCTCAGTGGACTATATACTCGACAATGTACAATCCTCAAAACCTATATGTCCCCACCACAATATAGGACGGTTTGATGACGATGGCATACACTAAGAAATTGAACATTTTTCGGAAGCTTTATTACTACGAGCAACGCTGACACTGACGTCAGCATATGTCTGGTCATTGCATAACATTCAATGCGATCAATCATCAATGGCCGTCAGGAACTGTTTCAGTTTTTATGAATAATAATACACAGAACGCATCATTGTAATAAACATCCTTTGAAATTAATTTCTCCCCATACACCTTAACCTATATGGAAATGAAAACCGCAATGTCGTTTGTGAAAAAAATCATTATCTTTGTGCGATTATTGTATCCTGTATCCTGTTGAAATGTGTTGTTAACACAATTTACGTCCTTGCGTGATTATTATGATGAGTGCTTTTTTTGAGTCTTGCATTAAACATCAACATTGCATATTACTGATTGGAATATATAATGTTCAATTAAGCAGTGCTTGTCTGTTTGTGAAATGCAAGAGAATAATAGGCTAAAACCATTTGTTGTAAATACAATTACAACCATTTCTAATGCTTTTCGAGATATTTCATAATTCTACGGAATCAAAATGATCTTATGAATATTTTATCGTGTGTATCAATCCTTCGACGTCAACTTCAAAAATCGACATTCTTCATCCGATTTACCCGGCGTCAACTAATCCCCTACAGCCTCCTTGATATCTGATCCGTTAAGAATCTTTACAGGTATCAATGTCAGATCTATCCATTGTACAGTTCAACCTATCCGTGATGGCAGATATCAACGGTTATTACGGCTTTGCTTCAGAGCTCAACCCCGAGACGCCGTTTGATGCTTAGATTGGTGGAACTGTACGGCTTCTTCATAGTGCAGGATGTTTGGGGTTTTTTTCAGAGAGACGTCTGCGAGCCATGGGGTGACAGACTTGATGCAGTAGGGTGCCAATGGAACCGAAATTTGAACCTTCCAAAAACAAATCTTCTCATAGTCCCATGGCCGGAGGTAAGTTACAATAGTTTATTAAGCATTCGCATGTTGATGTAGAAATGTTCTTAAGCATACAATGCACTGACGTATTTCAACAGTTAAACAAACGCCGAGTTGTAGTAGACAATGGGACAATTTCCTCACAATGAGTTCGGTAACTCATGCAAATTTACGGGCAACTTTTAACATGTTGATTCATTCTGTGTTTCTTTATTAGAAGCTTAATTACATTGTTTTTGCAAACACTTCTGGATTTGAATATATTTCTTTGAACTACATGTAGGGTGTTTTGTATCAGAGGTAGATTCGGTTTTTGTATTTCGTAAGGGAAATTACTTGTCCAAAGTATGGTCAAAAGACTATTCTGCATGTTGTTTTCCAACACATTTCTACATGTGACATATGTAAGTCCGTTCTGTGCTGAAGTACTCCAGTATAAGGATCTATACCGAAACGTCGCATCATAATATAATAAAGAAGTTGTTATCCATAAAGTATCATTGCTTTTTTATTACTCACCAACTTCTTAAATCCCAATCAAACATTAATAAATAAATATCAGGTGTTCTACTAGTATATAAGTCGGTTCTGTGCTGTTTTACCTCAGTCTTGCTTGACAACAGTATAAGGATCTATACCGAAAAGTATCATTACTTTCTTATTACTCACCACCTCTAAAATGCCAGTCAAACAGATTATACCTTTGTGATTCAGTTTTACAAGAACATTGCATGACTGGGAACCCACCAGACGTGTGTCATCTTCACAATTATGGGACGGTTTGATGACGATGGCATAAACTAAGAAATTGGACATTTTTGGAAGCTTTATTACTACGAGTAACGCTGACACTGACGTCACTACATAACATTCAATGCGATCAATCATCACATGACCGTCAGGAATGTTTCAGTTTTTATGATTAGATAATACACAGAACGCATCATTGTAATAAACATCCTTTGAAATTAATAAATAAATAAATTTCAGGTGTTGTACTAGTATATAAGTCCGTTCCATGCTGTAGTACCTCAGTCTTGCTTGACAACAGTATAAGGATCTATACCGAGAATTATTCGAGAATGATATCAGTTACAAAGAATCCCGTTGATACCTTGAGAGTTTGCTCGTTTGATATAATGATCTATTGTGGACCGTTTGTGTACTTATAATTGATTTTGTTCAGACTTCTATTTCATGTCAGAATAGCAATCAGCAGTTGCGAATACTTCCGACAGAACTTGATCAAACATTACAGAAGCTGATTGCCAGGACACCAACATATTCTATTGTGTTATAACATAAATATGTGTGGTCTTGAAAATATGGACATTGTTAGAGTGGTGATGGTGAAATTGGGTTTAACGTCGTGCTTGAGAATATTTCGCTCATATGACGACGTGCATGCGTGTGTATGTGTATGTGCGGCTGCTTGTACTAGCCCAGACTTAAGCTGGTTTTATAGTGCTAGCCCACTGAGATACCATGCCGCAGTGAAGCATGAATACCCCACTCAGACACATTATACTGACTCCGAGCCGACCAGTCCTTGTTGTACCCATTAATGCCGAGCGCCAGGCAGGGACCAACAAGTACCATATTTTGACGTCTTTTGGTATGACGCGGTCGGGGATCGAACCCGCGACCTTCCGCACTCCGGGCGGACGCTCTAACCACTACACCACGGGGGCCGTCACACTGTTAGAGGACAATATATGAGGGTCCATTGTGGCAACTGTAAATTTAGAATTTTACATTTTGAAAACAGATTCGCTACAACATTAACAGATTCGCTACAACTCTATGTGCTCTACTCTAACCGACAAGCTAAGCAATACTGGAACGTTTCAAAGTCAAGTAAAGACCAACCTACAATAAAGTTTTGGTGGTCGGGGTGGGGTGGGGTTGGGGGAGGGTGAATATGTAACACTGATGATAAGAAAGGGAGTATATACAGGAAATTGAATATTTCCATGTAGAGAGGAAATTGTACATTTATAGAAAAGGAAAGACCAAACACCAATCAAAATGGACCACAAATAAAATTCATGTTTTGTAACCCACGTGGTGCCCTTTTGTTGAAAGTGATGACATGAGGTTCTAGCTACTGAAACTAGCCAAAGTGATCATATTAGTACGTCCATTTAAATTTCATTTTCCCTACGGCTGTTGTCATCGTCAGAACATCGAAGTTGAAGAGAATTGTAACATTTTGGAATAGTGACGTTCTTACATGACGTTACCTTCAACTGTGACATTTTACCAACGTCACTATTTCTTGTATCGGAAGTCCATGTAAAACTATGAATGTATACTATCCAAAAAAAGAAACGCATAGGCCAGAAATCTTTTGCGAAAATGTATTTTCAAACATGTATAACTCTTCCACAAATAGACTTTAGTACATGAATATTCGCATCAGTTTAGAAGAAGGAAATATCTATACAACCAAGTGGATATTTTTAGATAACGGAGACGTTGAGCGCGATGGTGACGACGTAGCACGGTCCCGACGTCGGGTCTCTTGGCTCTCTGACCAATCTCTCTCAACCTGTTCCGCACAGTTTGACCGGATATCCTCCGAAGTCCAGGCACCCTGGATGCTGTGCTCTCACCCGTGGAAATACGATCACGCAAATGTAGTACCCGGATGTACCGATCTTGGGTTACAGTTGGGACTCGAGGTGTGCCTGTACGGGGACGGTCATTTGTTATACCTGTTTGGTTGAAATGAGCTGCAAGCCGTGATATCGTGCTCAGACTAACGTTCAGACGCTAGACTGGAAATCTCCAGCGTGCATTCTTTCAATGGCGATGTTCCGTGTCGCATCGTCAAGACGTGGCGTAGTGATTTGACCTTGAAACTCCTTCAAAACGAATGCCGATTTCCGAAAGTAATCTGGATGTTTATAGCCAGACAGTGCATGCTCTCTGCTGCACAATTTCAACTGGATGATTTCTGTTACGTTGTGACGATGCCTTTTTAATCCTTGTAAGAAATCTCAGGAAAATCAACATTTTCAGGTAAAGTCGATTTTTCACTTGTGCAATTGTGTAAAATCATGTTATCAACACTTTTGTTACATATTTTTACGATTGTGTGAACACAATAGGTAATTAATATATTTTTAAAAAACCAAAACGCCTATGCGTTTCTTTTTCTTTTTCTTGATAGTATATTAGGTTGTGTACAAAAGAAAGTCATTTGTCTGACTGAGTGTTTCAAGACAGCACGTGTACAAATATGGACAACGTTTTTAAAATACACGTCTCAGCCCAGTAGAAGATGAATATATCGACCTGTTCAGGCTATGTTGTAGTTGCAATTTCAAGATGATATGGCTTCCAAATTTGATCATTTATGTCAAATCAATGACAATAATAGTTAAGATTCGACTTTTTTTAGTTAACTTAAAATTTCAGTATTTCTTGGGATGCTGTCTGGTGGGTTTGAACCCAAATCCAGGATTAAATGCCTCAGATTGAGACGTTTCGAATCCAATTAGGAGTTCATCTTCAAATTCAGACAATACTGTACACTGACATTGACTATGAAATGTCAAGCATCAGTGACACTTAAATTACTGTCGACTCATTGGACATTGGGAAACTGGCGAGTCCTAATGCTGCCAGTCACAGCATCACGATAAGGACAACTTGACCCTGGAGAGTCCAAGTATCTTGTTGCACGTCATTACAACATACACCTGAGCATCGTATCTCTGTAATGGGAAAAGTATACCCGTCTCAGTTCAACCCAAGATCGTCCGAAAGATTACAGCGTGTCTACTGATGTCGAAATGAAGATTTTGCAGCGACGGGTTCTGCAACGGAAGTGTTAAGGGGTGAGCTATATTATACACGTGGATATCGGACTTGGTGGTGGTTCAATGGAATCTCACAGCAATTGGGTACATCGACCAAACTCGTCAATGTCACCGCCACCGATTACAAACCGACAGAAGGGTTTGTTTCAACACTGCTCGTGTCACTGTTGACAGCCTTCCTAATTCAAACGTCAATATTTTGGCATGGCCTGTCATAGTTCCTGATTTGAATCTGATACAGAAACGGTTGGATGAACTCGACAGACGAGTACGTCAACGTCAGCTTCAACGTCAACATACAACAGGTAATGATCGCTGGTGACACCTGCATCACACCAGGTCCTGATAGGAACATGATGGACGTACGTGTCTTGTGATAGGACAATCAGCATCACCATGTGTCAGTACACAACCCTGTGCACTTAAAAGAACCCACGAATCCGTTGGTATATGACCAGATGGTGGCCACATGAATACGTGCAAACACCTAGTTGCGGGTACAGCAACGTGCAGTAAACTTGGACAAAGTACTGTGATTATGTATCCCAGTCCACTCAGCTGTGAATGGGTACCTCGTAAGGATGCAAAAGCCGCAATAACTCGGTGCGCCTTGTGGCAGCAAGAGTTGTATGATCCCCAGGGAGTTGAGATTGATAATAAGATGTGCCGTTGAGATTGACATCCAATGATCGAGGGGGAAAATACCAGCGCCTTGAGCATGCACTCAATATCCAATGATAATCATAAAAATCTGTCTCGCTTGCATCCCAAGTACACTGTCCAAGTACACTATTGTTCTCGGTGCCCTTGGTTTGGTACCTCCTGATCTCTTGGCGCAGATCAGGAGAGTGCCCGGGTTCTCCACCGGGAGCACAGCCCTTCTGACACTCTGGGTAATGCAGAAGGCTGCAGTGTTGGGGAGCCTTCATATTCTCCGGACAGTTCTTGGTGGGTTCGACTAGGCAGTGTTTCCTGGGAGAAGTCCCATTCGCTGTCATTTGCTGCGTGTAGAGGGGGCGAGGACCCTGAGCTGATGAGCCTGACTGTGCCAGGATCACCCGAACCCTCTCTGCTGCATTTTCATCTTTAATCTGTAAAACATAATAATAATAATAACCATCATGTCTACAGAAGAATGGACTGTCACCATCCTTGTATCAAACAAATTCAAAGCAATACGTCCATTCA